AAACCTCGACAGCCGTTTTATGTTTTGTTTAAGGGCTACTATGCGCAAATACTTTGAAAAAGAATCTATTAATATTAACAAAAATCTAACACCATCATTTTCTTTTGACAGATTCTGCTCATCTATGAGATCCATGCTCCATTGAACATTTATGCCACTTACACGAATGTTTGGTGTTTTCTTGGGTCGACGCACTTGACGCTGTAAAGTGTATGCGTCTTGTCCTCTTAGCCATTTTGAAATAAAATATTTGGTAGATTTGAAAGTCTTGTTTGAATTTAAGGCTTGGTAAAGTTTGTCTGGTGTTGTATAAGCTGCGGGATTGCATATGTTGTAATAGTACTTCTCCAAAAATTTAGTTTTCTCTTTTTCACTCATAGCTTTATCTAGCAAATGTCTTGATATTTAGCCTGCTGTTCCATTTCCCTTCGGCTCAGGTGAGCTTTTCTGGTCAAAATTTGTCCGTTGTCTGTTGTCGTCGTTAACTTTTCACAATTTCATCTTCTTCACCAGAACCACTGAACCTCCAGAACCACTGGACGAATTTCAACCAAACTAGGCACAGAGTATCCTTGGGTTAAGGGGATTCAAGTTTGTTCAAATGAAGGGACACGCCCTCTTCCAAGGGGAGATAATTACAAAATAGCGAAAAATTAATCGCATCTTTTAAAAATCTTCTTCTCAAGAACCAATGGGCCAGGAAAGATGAAACTCATGTGGAATCATCGTCAGGTAGTGTAGTGTCAAGTTTCTTCAAATCATGACCCCGGGGGTAGGGTGGGCCACAATGGACGATCAAAGTTTTACGTAGGAATATATAGGGAAAATCTTTAAAAATCTTCTTCTCAAGAACAGCAAAGGCATGATTAGTCATATTTATATGGAAGCATCCTCAGATAGTGTACATTCAAATTTGTTCAAATCAGGATCCCTGGAGGGGGAGTGGGGCCACAATGAAAGTTTAAACTTGTAGGAAAAGAAGCCACAGTTAGTCAAAAGAAATATGTAAGCATCCTTAGTTAGTGTAGATTCAATTTTGTTCAAATCATACCCCCGTACCCCCAACCCTTTTAGAGGGGACTACTTATGCATTTAAGCTTTTCAATACTGATCGGATTTTTGCTTTTTTCCTAGCCACAGTGCTCAGGTGAGCGATGTGGCCCATGGGCCTCTTGTTAAGAATAATCCCTTCTTCCAATAATCGGTAGAAGGGTATGTTTTCATGAAATTCCATAGTGTTTTCACCTCTTTGTGTTCACATCCATATTCTCGAATCATATCTTTTAAAATTTCTAGAATATCTAGCCCCATATATGCAATTTCAAAATTCACAAGTAATTTCATTTGTGAAGAATCCATTAGACATGAATGTTCCACTTTTGGGGATTGCACTATTTCACATCTAATACAGTAGTCAGAAGATATTTTAAAAATACGATCCCAGAGATAATCAATGGATAAAGTTTAAAATATTCAAATTGGACCTCCATGGTTTAAAAGATAAGAAAAAGATAAAAATTGTCTTTTTATATAGTATTAAGTTTAAGTATGAATTTTAAGTTTAAGGATGAATAAATTCACAAACCGTTTATTGACACTTAGTTTCTTCTTTTTATGTATGGTAAAAAACATAAAGAAAATAAATCACAATTTAATATCAATTCTTTATTACCTCTTTTTATTAATCACTATTAATACAGTCACCACTGTAAAAAAAACTGTTAAAGAATTTTCTACTTGACTCATTTTTAATATATGAACAATTGAAGTCTTTAAATATTGCCATTGCATTTTGTTAAGTTGAATTCCTTTTTGAGACTTTCATCTTCAACTTGGCGAATATCTACCGTAATATTTCTATCAAGTTGACAAATTCTAACATACACCTCCTCGATTAGTGGATATTCGTCAATAAAAACGCATCTTGGAGCAGGTTGGTTGTATGTAAAGTTCTCACACTTCCATTGAATGTAGCTTGTCACTGGTGTATTTACAGCAGTTCCCTTATCCTCCAAAAGAATTGTATTGATACACACAAGTACCAATACTACAGTAGAAAACATATAAGCTACCAGACATTTTAGTTAATCTTTTTAAATGATTTTTTACAATCATCATCATACGTCGCCTCGACTAAATTAGTTACAATTGCAACACTGTCCATCTTTTGCTTTAGCAAATGACACTGTATTCCTCGATGGTAGATTGCTAATATGAATAAAAGATAAGAATATCTGTTTTATATATTACAGGAAATATTGAGGTGTATGTAAGGGGGAGATTGACATCATTAATGGGTTTTACTTTAAAAACTAATGGAATGATAATGTGCTGTCTGTATTTTTTTGTTAGCAGTAATCTTCTATTATAATATAAAACACATTATACATGTTATATCTAGCTAATTATAGACACTAATAATAATTTGTATAAGATATAGAAAGTTGCATGGGTGAAGCTTTCTGCTAATTGCCATATACCTAATTTAATAGATAGTAATCGTGACATAGAAGCCTTCTGCTGAAGAGTCAATCATTCTGAGCCTTCTGCAAGAAGATAAGGTGTGAGCCTTTTAATTCATTTGCATCGTAATATTATGCGGTGTCAAAGGTGGATGAAGTCTTAAGCTGAATATACATTATATAGCAGCAGAGTATTTGTCATGTTAATTAATTAGGTTAATTTATGTTAATTAAATTAATTTATTTTGAGTTTTTTACCTCATCTACATAATAAGTAGAATTATATAGCAAATGGGGTGTGGCTTAATGTTTTACAATCAGCACTATTCTACTACTGCCATGGATGAGTGAGCATCCCCTGCCGACCGGTCACACCCGCCGTGTGCTCCTTGTCACGATCGGGTAATAACGGAGAAATCCGTAGACAGGTCAGTGTATAAATAAAGGCCTAACAATAAAAACCGTCAGCATTTGACTCAAAGATAGGTTGTATGTGCTGACAAGGTCATCGTATCGACCGTAAAACTTCCGAAATGATGACTTCAAACACTGTTGATGTCCTTTTTTCATCAACTTTTTTGTCAATAGCTTGCTTCGTTTTAGGAACGCAGGACTGTTAAGGCGTACTACGAAGAAAAATCAACGAAATATAAACGTGCATATATACATACCTTTTTAAACTGAACTTATTTTTGTAAAGCTACTATATTATCACTTGACTTTAATTTTAATTGAAATAACATTGTATACCCCGCTCTGTACAGAATTTGGTTTGGTCACGTTATTTGACAGTCACGTGATAAATGCATATAATGTGTACTGTATGTAGGTCATAAACAAATTTCAATATCGCAAGGGCATACCCTAGTTAGAATTAAAACTTTCAGTAATAAATTATATCTATATAACTTGTAGTTCATGAAAAGTGCTGCTGCTTTAAATAGAATTCGCATTTTATTTGTTTAAATTTCAAGTTATTTGGCCCTAGTCGAAATATGTGTGACCTTTACCATGTATTTTATTTATTTATTTAGTAATACTCTCGATTTTAGGAAAGCAGCAGCACTTCTCAAGTTAAGGAATGTTTCTGTTATGCACATTCAAAAAATGGTCAAGATCTATTAAGTGTATGCCCTTGCGAAAAGGCGATTTAATGAGGCACCTCGGCGTGAAACATGCACACCCTGTACACAAAAACATGGTAGAATTAATTCAATACACTCTCTCTATGATTTTTAAATAATGACACTAAACAAAGGTTTCAGATTTGTATTAATGGTCTACCTAAGATTTGCAAATAATATTCTGTTTAATAATAAAATGCGTTTTTCACTGTGGAAAAATTACTTGATCCGCCTCTCACTGCACATAAAATGCGTCAAATTTTACCATGATGACGTCATGTCGACAAGTGCATTGCGATCAGTGACTTGTTTCTATCTTGCTGTGTGTGATTTAACTAGCGACGAATATGAATGCAGTGGTAAGTTTTGATGTAGTTTATCACTCTTATGCAGTTTGAAATCGCAAATTATTTCATTTTCTATTGTTATGAGGCATTGCTATATTTGTGCGATGTCACAGTAGACATTTCCCGTATAAATTAGACCCCGCCCCCTTTATGCAGCCTTAAAGAGCTGCGAAATTGTTCATACGTAGAGCATTCTCTTGTGTATCGAATCAACTGAGAGACATAAACCCCAGGTGATAAGGGTATATTACTACATAAGTAAGGAAAGTTGACGATTGAAAAGTTAAAGTCATCACGTTTATCATAAAGTTTTGTTGTTAGGATACCATTAACGTCTTTTTCTAGTAAAATATCTAAATATGATACGGCTGTGTCAGAATCTGTGATATCTTTATTTCAAGCTCACTGGGATATATCGAGTCGACATATGAATGAAAGTAAATATTGTTAATTGACAATACGTCGACGTTATATCGAAATGTCGAGTTGAAGGCCACAGCAAATGTTTTCTTTTTCATGTAGAAGTTTTTGAATAAAATCTGCTTCATATGAATACAAAAACAGGTCTGCTAATAAGGGGGCGCAATTGGTACCCATAGAAATTCCAACAGATTGTTGGAAGACCTGATCTCCAAAAACTACATAGATATTGTCAATCATAAACTCAAGCATCTTTTTAATATCAGCTTCAGAGTACTTGTGCGTACAATCAGAGTGCTTTTTAACAAAATAATTTTGTAAATGACCAATAACAAGGTAAATGTATAAGCTTCTTGTAAAACGACAGTCACAGCCCGTCAAAATGGATTTATTTGTCCTAAATTCGTTTTTATTTACCCAATTTCCGTTGACTGGCATCGAAAGAGAAGGTAATCAAATACTATGTTGAGCGCAATGAAAAGTCAAAAGATAATTAATCAAAACTCCTTGGATGTTTTCCACGACCTACAATAAAAACCTCCCTACAATAAAAACCTCCCATTTCGATGCCAGTCAACGGAAGCTGGGTAAATAAACGCGAATTTAGGACAAATCAAATCATTTTTTAAAATAAAAAATATTCTAAATTGAGATGCACTGTTTTATTCAAGGCAGGAATTTTTATGCAATGAGCTTCCAAAGACAAAATTTTGAAGAATTGATATTCGTTAAAGGCCGTGGCACAAAAGGAAGGAGAGAGGCACTTCCATTAACATAACATTCAGGGAAAAAGCACGTAAAGAGTTTCATAAGCCCTTGTCTAAATCGAATTTTCACATCTTAGATAAAAGAGAGATGAATACTTCTTCAGCATTATTAAACACATGCACACATGCATCTCCTACGCCACCGGCTCCAACAGCAGCAATCTATTCTAGCCGTTCTCTGTGAATCTCCTGTCAATGAAATACAACTCTTTATTTTCGTACTTCAATAAAGGCGTAATATAGTCCAATTTCCTTCAGGGTTACATACAATTTAAAAAAAACAACAAATATTCGTACTAACACCTTTGAATGATATATTTGTAAAGAATGAAATAGTAAAATTACTATTTTACTCTTTGAAAAAAGAAAAATTCATTTAGAAACAGAAAACTGCATATGTTTATAATGTCCTGCAAGGAATATGGCTGGAGCATATAGAGTTTTTCATGTCCTTCCGTCGCTTTGTGTTAAGCTCGGTTCAAAACTCAGTTTCAAAAAAAAAAAACATTCAAGATATTTTTTATCAAACTTCCTATGCTAATACATATTGATGTAATCTATTCAACTGCATCAACATTTTTTTGACTTTGAACTTTCCTTTGACATTGACCTCGCTTTTCTTAATTAAATGTTTAGCTCAGATTTAAAGAAACCATTCAAGAGAGTGTTATCAAACTTCACTTGCTGATTCGTGATGAAGTCAGCTTTTCAACTGCATCAATTATTTATTATTATTAAATTATTTATAAACCTTAACTTGATATCACTTTTCTTAAATTAGTGTTATGCTCAGTTTTAAAGAAACCATTCAAGACATTGTCATCAAACTTCATTTGCTGATACATACTGATGAGAGCTATTCAACTGCATCAATATTTTTTGACCTTGGCCTTTCCTTTGACCTTGATCTCACTTAAATTAGTATTTAGCTCTGTTTTAGAGAAACCATTCAACATAGTATAATCAAACTTCATATTCTGATACAAGGGTTGTTTTATTTATTGATGTAAGCTAATCAACCTCATCAACATTTTTTGACCTTGACATTCCTTTGACATTGACCTCACTTTCTTAAATACTTAGCACAGTTTTATAGAAACCATTCATGATGTTTTTATCAAACTTCAAATGCTCATACCTTCTGACCTAAGCTTTTCAACTGCATTAACATTTTTTGAGTTTGACTTTTCCTTTGACATTGGCCTCACTTGTGAAATTAGTGTTTAGCTGAGTTTTTGATAAACCACGCGAGATGTTTTATCAAACTTAATACGTATTAGTCAGAACTATTAAACTGCGTTATCTTAAACCTTCCTGTGACCTTGACCTCACTTTTCTTAAATTTCCATTTTGCTTAGTTTTAAAGAAACCATTTAAGATATTTTTATGTAAGCTTATGCACTTGAACATAATTTGGTGGAAATTTATCATCTATATCAAATTTATTTCAATTTGAAAGATACTATTCAGATATTCCCATTAAACTTCATACACTTATACAAATTTTCACGTTACATAACTGATAAACCCTCGGCGGGGCATTCATCTCCTATGGACATATTTATAGTTTTCTCAATGTTTCCCTACCACACATACGTTTACTCCTAGAATGGAAATGTTTAGACTCTACGAGCTTGCATCATTGCCTCACGAAAATGTGATTTTACATCATTTGTTTTTGATGTGTTGATATATATATAGTTTCTTTTGTTAAGTCACAGGTATTACAGAATCCCCCATAAAAAAAACTCGTTTCTTTTCAATATGTGATGAAAAATCTTCACAAAAATGACTGAAAGACCACGGGTCTCTCAGGTGCTACACCAGAATCTTGGAATTCGACTGCAGCAACTGGGCGACGGGCCCTTTAAAAAGACTTGAAAATTATTTTTTTTTCGCTAGAATCAAAAGACTGTGAACTAAGGATTCGAGTTGCAACTGTAATACATGGTGGACATACTTGCTATTTATTCAGTTTTGGAAATGAACGGTTACCTGTTACTTTCTAAAGTTATGACAACAGTCCATATCAAATATGTTTGCATTAAATCGCTTTTAAACTGTTATAATACGTAGTAAATTGTGAATGCCACATGCATGTTGCAAATGTATGGTAAACGTGTTAGATATAACATGATGCGTTACTAACGTGTACAACAAAGTTTTAGTACACCTTAAGTTCGTGCACGTTTTTCATGTTTAGGTGTACATTTCCTCGATATTTTATATATACACAATAACATTAAAACAAAGCGTTCCTTAAATGTGTAAAATTGTTTTTGTTGCAATAATGTACCCTCTCCGCTATTTTTTATCTCTTGTTTTCAGGAGAGGGCTAACAATTCCAACAGGATCTCCGTAATGGTATTAATATCTTTTTGAATACGGGCGACTGCACGCAAAATAAAATACTTTCAGATTCAACTTCGTTCCAATAAGACTTATTTTTTTATCCATTACCAATAACCTAGCCCTTTCTGCACTAAAACAAAGTAAAATAATTCTGCATGGCTACCGGTCGTCTTTCTTAACAGCCATGACAGTTTTCGTTGAAATTTAGAAAGGCTTGATAAAGTAAATGTCTATGTTTAATACTAGTGTTGTATGGTATCACTAAATATCGATGATTAAAAGCATTCCATATGAAATATTTTTCAAAAACAGTGATTTTTATGCTTAAAATAAGAGGATTCCTAATAGATCTGCTCCCTAGAACCCGAATTCTCATTGGCTGGCCTAAAATAATTCGATCGAAGTCAGTAGAAATGGTGGATATATTCAAGTTGTGATGTTGACATACACAAAAAATAACCGATATAGGAATTATTCTGCGTATTTTTGGATCAACTCATGTCTTACGTGTACAGAACTACATTTTTTGAGTTAAGGTAAGAAACACTAACCAAATAGCCACAAAATTTATGCGGTAGTGAATCTGTACTTGCACAATCACGGAGATCCTAAGGAGTTTTAGCCCTTTCCCAATAAAAAATGATCGGAGGCGGCTACATTATTGCAGCTAATGTGCTTATAAAAATAATTTTTTATGATATAGAAATATAATAAATACTAGAGCAAAGCTCATTGCTGGAGCAACAAGCAGGTCTTCCGTCCAATTCTACGAAGAAAATGAAGGACAGAAATTAAATTATATTTAAAAAAGAACACAGTTTTCAAGAGCACTCGACTTATAATAATGTGAGAAGTCTTAGGGACTTTTTTCATAAAATAACAAGCTGATGTTTGAAAAAAAAAAAACAACAACCCACTGGTAAAGTCTCGGTTTGACCGGGAGTGACATCGATCGACGAAAAATAAAGATGTCTCTTATGACATTAATCATTCAAATTCGTGCCAATACCTACAAAAATAAGCCTTTTCTGACTATTTCCGGTTTAACCGTGATGTTGATCAACAAAAAATGAGATCGGGCGCTTCCGGTGACTCAGATTACCCAATTACGTGTCAAAAACTACATAAATGTGCATTTTCTGACCACTTCCGGTTTTACATTCTCACCAACAGCTACTTGATATTTTGAACAATTTCCTTCAATAATGTGTCGCAAATTATCAATAGTTATTGAAATATTGAGAAAAACCTTCGGCGCCTCTCTAGATCCCTTATTTTAGGGGCTAGCCCCGTTTTTTCTTATTCGATGAAAGATCTTGTAGTTTTGCACAAATATTGTTCTACATGTCTTAACAAATTACTTACAGACAAAGAAATATTGTAGAAAAAGCGTTGTAAATTTCGAAATTTTCAATATGCCTTTTTTCGGAACATAGCGAGCGCCGACGTGCGTCATTTCCGGTAAAAATTAAATGCGTTACGCATATCTACAGACCTAGGTCTATCATACCTGAAAGTTTCAAGTTTCTATTTAGAGCCATCCATGAGAAAATTTCCGGACAACCCGACCCTTTAAAAGTTTTTAAATCGACATTATCTCCGGACCGGAAGTGAGTACATCCAAAAAGAAAAAAAAACTCAGAAGGCCAAAGTGATGATACAAAATTCCTGAAATTTTCACGAAAATCCATCAAGCCATTTTCGAGAAATCGCCTGCACAAAACCCTTAGGAACCCACATCTGTAATGTTAATTTTTTGCGTTTTTATCAAAAGTTCTCTAATACATAAGGCGCTTAAGTATAGAGTTAAACAAATGGAAATTATGTTGTAAAGTGGCATTGATCACTAAACCAGTATGTGAAACGAAAGTTTCTAACGTACTTTAATAAAAATAAAAACAAGTTACTTACCAGTCACAGATTTAGCAACTCGAATGGGAGCCACCACTAGAAAGCAAAACAAAACACAAAAGATCACAAAGAGAAGAAACATACAGAAACAAAACAATTTGAAATGTAAGGAAAAGGAAATTTTTTTAGGGTTCTGCATAAAAATATAGGAATCACATTGTCCATCTGTCCGTACGTACCTACGTATGTTTCAATATATATCCAGGACAGTTTTGTTGTGAACCAATAACACAACCCGTTTTCAACGTAACGTTAATTTAGCAGTTGGTAGTTATACCAGAGTTTTTAAATGCAACGGCGTATTCCACTGGACCGTTGACCTCTTTTCTAATGCTTTTGATTTTTGAGAGGTATAGCTTCGATAATTTGTAAATATATCGCATTTTCGTTTACATTTGACAATTTCCTTAAACAAACTGAAATTCAAATAAATTCAATAGTTTTATGGAATTAATTTGGAATCGTTATACAACTTTTAGATCAAACAAAACTGGATGCTAGCAATTGCAGTAAAGACGAAATTTTTCTACTTTGTAATTCTAACTGAAAAATGTGTAATTTCTTCTTTGCTTCTCGAAATATTTTATGCTTACCATTAAAAGCTTCACCAAGATCTCGCCCTGCAACAGGGGCTGAAAATAACAAAATAGTAGACATACAATATTAACTGAAATTGATTGTTTATGGATTGGAATATATATTTAGCAATGTTCAGAACCGGCATTTCCGTTGGAGACAGCAGACCCTAATAATAATCTCAACCAACAAAATCAGTAGACGGTCTTCCTTTGGAACGAAAAACCTTAATAACTCGTTAAAAATCCTTATGTTGCAAAACATTCATTTTCACAAGGAAGAGAAAGCGCAAAGCTTGTGCGTTTACTGGTTAAAGTAAAAGTAACCCAGATCGCTACTCCTCCAAAATTAAATACACAATTACAAATAATTGAGAAATAAACTGTTTATTAAATATATAGCGAACGGTAAAGTTAGCAATTAATGCAAATAAAATTTAAGATTGATTCAATCTGCTTGCGTTTTGTATTAATACTTAATCATACACATTTGAAAAAATCCGAATTAATTAAACTAAATAATTTTCCATAAATTATTGTGTTTGCAAATTTAAAACGACAGTGTTTGTTTCGTGTATGGCTACTGATCACTGCTTCACACACGATGGTTCCTTGGGCACATGTGATCGCAGGAATGATTATGTAATGGTAAACAAACACAAAACCCGCCAGCATCTTTTCAATTATAGTTTAAATAAAACCCCTTAATATGAGATCGAGAAAAAATACTGTTTTTGATATAAAGATGTCAGTCGAAGCGAATAAAAATTGAAATAATTATTGAGGTAGCGTCTAGGATTAAGACTATCATGATCAAAAACAAAGGTAAGCCCATAGAATCTGAAAGATTCGATTTTCCATTAATTGTTGTGTTTACAAAATGGATTTACTAAGCTCATGTTTGTTTTGTTTACGACTGCAGGTCACTGGTTTACACGCCACTGGTTTCTTTTTATCTCGGCCACGCGCGATCTAGATATGAGTTACAGTACTGTAAATACAAAACAATCAGGCATCGAGCGTGCAGTTAATGACTGTGAATTATTTTACGCTCAAAAGTTTTTTTCTAAAAATTAATATTATTTGCTTTAATGTTAAAAGATATAATTTGTTTCATTCTCTCTCTCCCTCTTATGGAACGCTTGTTTATTTTTAAATAGAGAAAGTTTTAACTGAAAATTCTGTATGGAAACCAATGAGCAAGCTTAAACCTTAATTTGAAGAAAATACTAGGATTCAATGTTGTTAGGTATATTATTTAAAGCAAGTTTACTGTTATACGCATGAAGAGTTCTTCACTAGCCAAATGGAAATTGTTACTTGTTTACGGCTCCATCTTTTTATTCATACAAAACACAAGACTCGAATAAAACAACATTTTCATGAGGTAAAGAAGATAAAAGATCAACTTTTTCAGCGACAGCCATAGCGAAATATTTACCGTTTCTGAGTTATAAAGCAAAAACTTTCAAGGGACCTTGATCCATTATTTAAAGGACAAACCCCTTTTTAGTGGTGTCAAAAGTTGTGCACAACGTTTATTCTATATGTCTTAAAATATTTTTAACTTAAAAGATACAAAAGAAAATGTGTTAATTGTTTGCTCTTTTAGGCCTTGTAAAGTTTGACCCCACTAGTTCCATTTTGAATCTGGAAATCATCAAACAAACACCGATGTGCACGACTACAATGCCTCTATTTCTCAAATTCAATGGTATTTCAGCTCCTGCTTTTATAGTCTCGGAGCCTTTGTCTAGAAACCAAAACCCCACACTTTACAATCAAAGGGGAATAACTTTAAGCGGAAGGGGATTTCTGAAATGAATACCATTATTTTGCAACGTCTATAAACTCTGAAAATTTGAGCAAAATTCTTTGAGAAATAAGCAAGATATTAGGCCTCAAGGTTAGCGTCTGGGAGAAAGAAGAAGAAAAAAAGAATAATCTTAACCAACAGAATCAGTTGGTCTTCTGTTGTGACGGAGGGCCTTAAAAAACCTTGAAAATGATATGATTTCACCAAAAAAAAAACTAATCAGTGATATTGATTTGATTAGATTTAATACAGCCATCTTCAAAAAATTGTTTGGTTGCCTTCTCCCGACCGACCGACTAAAAATTGCCCGACTGAAAACCTTTTTTAAACCACCAGGAAACAATATTCTTTATGCATTCCGAAAAAAAGAGATTGTAAAATTTCAGCTTTAATGTTGAAATTTTCTTGGGGTGGGGGGGGGGGGGGGGGATTTCCCCCATACCCGCCGATCCAATTTGGAAGAGGGGACACAAACATAATTTCAAAGTTGACCCGATATAATTACGTTAAAATACAAAAAGTAATTAAAATGTAAATGAAAAGTTAAGGTCATAACTGATGTTTTTAAAACGTAAAGCACAAATTAAAATTGAAAATATCAAAGCAGAAATTACAGACGTGATGCAGAAAAACGTCACCATTTTGAGGTCTGACTGACTGAAATCAAGGGAAAAGCAAGAGGTATATGTAAAAAGTTCTGGAAAATTTCGATAATGAAGCTGAAATTCATAAAATTTTAATTTTGCTAGGGGCAGTCTTCTTCGTAAACTTTACCTATTTTTCACATAAATAAAAATACTTAAATTTTTGTTAGATAATCATTTTGTCCCTTCAAATTCAGTCGAATTTGAAAGCTACTGGTACTGATACAATCTTTTTTGTACTCAATATCAGATTGATTCTAATATGGGTTAAAAGTTGCTCTGTAAACATTTAGTTTGTAGACAAATTAAACAAAGAAACGATGTCAGAGCAATGCTTTCATATACGTGTTTGCTTGATGGAGGAAACTGAAAGTTACAATACTAAAAGTTTAAGTTTAGAAAAATAAAGTCGGAATAAAAAGGAAATAGCTCAATCCTCCTCATACCTTCTACCTTAATAACAAAGATGTGCCTTAGAACAGTTTTACCATGACTGTTTGCAGAATAAATCTCAAAAAGGGAAAACTCTTATTTATTATTTCAAAGCTATAAAAAATCATTTTAATGGATAAATGAAATTTTAACTTACCAGTTTCAAAAGAAACTAAAAAAAGAAAGAAAGTATGTTGATCATATTTTGGTCTCAACTAAGGCCCATGTTATGTAGTTTAATTAAAGATTACAGATTCTGATGTTTGAGGTTTAAAAACATCAAAATTATGATTCAACATTTCACAATATTGCATAATGCCAATATTACAAATTTAGTATTTACTCGAAGTACTAAAACTTAATAATTAGAACATACTGAATTCAAACTTTTTTAAAGTAAAGGTATAATACTAGGTATAAGCATAAACAACTTACAGAGCAATAAAGCGAGGATCACGATAATCATCATTCTGGTACTCTGGTAGAGAGTTGTATGAAAACACAGTGAAGGGACTTCTATTATATGCACCTACTGTTGACGTTATTAATGTCAATTTATCGATCTATTTTTAAACCTATCAAAATGAATTTTGCTTATCAAAAAGAAATAAATTGCATGTTGAATTTGGAATTCATTTGTGAATACTGCAAAAGAAAAAAAATTGAAAACATCTAAATTTATAAAAAGATAAAAACTGATAAAAACAAGAAAGAAATTTTATTTTTTTCTTTAGATATAGCCCTTTGGGTGCAACTTTTAGAAACTCACAGCAGGTACATGGTTTTCGTACATTGCTTGTATGGAGCTTGTACAAAAAAGAATGTTTAATAAGATAGAAATAGCTCTTGAAAAATCTGTATGCATCAAGCTTTCAGCAAAAATGTACTATGCTTGTTTGTTTGTTTAACGTCCCTTTCGAGAATTTTTCAATCATATTGAGAGTGAATTCTCACTACTTGCCGGTTGAGGAATGCAAATTTTGACCAATAACCGGTACTTAGGGCCATTGAGCAGTGAGGGATTTATTTCGTGCCAGCACCTAATGCGACACGGGACCTCGGTTTATACGGTCTCATCTGAAGGACCAGTTTCCACGTCCCGAAGACGAAAACGCGACGTAAGGATCATCTCTTTACTCTAGAACAAACACACTAACCACTGCACCACACAGACGATTACACTGTAATGAGTTTCCTGACATTTCTGCTAAATTTTCCCAAGTATTTCTCTTAACTCGTAGCAAACAACCGCCACGGTAGCTCAGTCGGTTGATCGCTCGCTCCGTAATGGGAAGGTGGTGAGTTCGAGTCGATAAATAATAGGTAGCAACTGCTCCTTCGCGAAGCGCTCGGCACTTCGGAGTGAAAGTTGCGGGTCCTTTGGATGAGACCTTAAAAATCGAGGCCCCTTGTCGCGGCAGGCATCTGCACGATTAAGATCCCTCACTGCCTCAATGGTCCCGAGTGCCGGGTAAAGGCCCTTCCCTGATATATGGTGACGTCTCTATATGAGTGAAAATTCTCGAATGGGACGTTAAACAATGTACAATCAATCAATCGTAGCAATCAAATACTTACTAAGAGACTAATTGATTGCAGAACAATTAGAGGTCATTGCATCTTCTTTGAATTTCAATAATTTTCACGTTTTAGCGGTTTAAAATTAAATTACGTGAAAAAGAAACAAGTATTTGCTTGAAAAATGTAAAAATGAAGGAAAAAATTGAAATGACCTGGATCTTTGAACAAATTTTAAAGGTCAAAGGTCCAGGGTCACATTGAAATTGAACCCATGTTTCTACGTCTTTTAGTTTTAAAGTTGTATGGTTTATTGGTAGGCACAAACACGTAAAAGGGCAATAACTCATATAAGGGGTGATCAGATCCTTTCGCACTGAATAATTGAAATTGTGTCTAAAGACCCAGAAGACATTAGTGAAGGTTTGGTGTCTCTACGGTTTCGAAGGAGTAGCCATACCAAAGATTTTAGTGAAAGGGGTAATGACTTTTAAAGGGGTCAAGCTTAGGGGACAAGAATGAAATTTTAGAAATAGTGTGAAAGAGGGCATATTAAAGATTCAAAGAGATATATATAAATATATATATATATATATATATATATATATATATATATATATATATATATATATATGACCTTGTATTATATATGTATGACCTTAACCTAAATTTCAGTGTCAACGATCGAAGAATGTAATGCAGTTGGTCCCATGTCTCTACAATTTATCGTTTTGTTATTGCATTAGTCGTAAACATCAAAAACTTTCAGGGGCAATAACTCGTTAAATGGGTTGACAAATACTTTCGCAATGAATAGATTGAAGTTTCTCCTTAATAAGTTGAAGACATTGGTGAAAGTTTTGTATTTCTATTATTTACCGTTTCGTCGGAGTAGCGATAACAAGGTTTATCGTGCAAGGAGCAAGAACTCTGAAAGGGGTCATGGGTTGTTTTTCGAAATAACTTTGATGTCGAGTATCATGACCTATAAATGTTTTCAATAAGTCATTCGATTCAAAAGGCCATAGCGGAAAAATAATAACTAGAGCAAAGCTCGTTGAAATGCAACGAGTAGGTCTTCCGACTGACGATGGATGTCCAAAGTAATGTATTTTTGAGTTTTTATTCTAAAAACAATAAAGTAATAGTAATTTCTGAAAATTAAAGCCAAAATATTATTTTTTTCGACAGCTTCCGGTTTCGAATCGGACTTTTCCTGACGTTATTTCCTCATTACAAATAATGTAAAAAAAAAAGTCACAAACACAGAAATAACCTCTCAAACTCAATAACTAACCAGTTTATACTATTTGTAGATACGATCTATCCTGGTGAGCTTGAGATAAAAGATACCACAGAGTCTGACACATCTGTTTCATATTTGGATATTTTACTTGAAAAACACGTTAATGGTAATCTAACAACCAAGCTTTATGATAAACGTGATGACTTTAACTTTTCAATCGTCAACTTCCCTTAGTTATGCAGCAATATACCTTCATCACCTGCATACGGGGAATATATATCTCAGTTGATTCGATACGCAAGAGCATGCTCTACGTATGTACAATTTCTAAAATGAGGTAAATTATTGACAAACAAGTTGATGAAACAAGAATATCAGCTGTCTCGTTTAAAGTCATCATTTCGTAAGTTCTATGGTCGATACAATGACTTTGTCAGCAAATACAATTTATCACTTGAGACGTTTTTCATACTAATTGTTAGGCCATTATTTACACACTTAATTGTCGACGGATTTATCCGTTATTTCCCGATCATGACAAGGAGCACACGGCGGATGTGACCGGTCGGCAGGGGATGCTCACTCCTCCATGGCACCTGATCCCAACTCTGATGCTTAGAGGTCCGTGTTTGCTCTGCTCCTATTTTGTATTGTTTAATGGACTTTTGAGCTTGAATACTGTTCGTTATCTCCATATATTTCATTGTTATGATCGCAGACAAAGAAGCCTCATTTTCCCACTACTTTCGGCTCATACCGGAATTACTTCCAATAGATGGTTCATGTTATTTATCTATATAAACATTATTTCTATATGTCTCAATTCAAACCGTTCAATTTTTCAAAAAAATCGTATATTTAAGGACGTTGGATCCTGCCATCAAAAGTAATGAGAATTTTTTATCAAGTATATTTTTAGAATTTATACACATAGCTTAATTAAAAATCAAAACAAAAATTGGGGATCAATGCGCGTCTTTTGGCGCTACAGAGCATTTAGTTTGACCTTTTTGCACTGTAAATACGTCTTACACATAAATCAATTTGTTAAGTTTTTCCTCCGATATTTTTTATTCAAATAAATTATGGGAACAAACACAGTCCTATTTCATCTTGAATAGACACATTAAAATTTGTGACAATGAAAAAAAATCAGAAATTACTCCGCATGTTCAATTATTTGACCTCTTTGCACTAAAAGATTTCATTTTCCTGGCATTTAACACCAAAAAAATCATTTGAAAGTAATGACATTTTACTGAAATTAAGAAGAATGGTTCAAAGTATCTTATATATTCTGAAAAGAAAATAAAAAGTGGGGGTCTGTGATGTTAATTTTTAGATATTACTAAAATAGTGCTAATTTTAAACTTAAAATAGAGATATTTTTTCTTGATTTTCACAATATATTTGCTATATTTATCAAATATGATGATAGAATTCATGACAGTTTATTTAATATATAATTTAGGACCAGTATAAAACAGTTCACTGCACAAAATAACTCTTTGTGTAGACTGTATGTAAAAATAGGAATCCAAACTTAACATACTTTAAATACTTCGAAAGAGAAAAAATGATCATTTTCTTCCAAAAAAACCTTCCTCCACAAAATATAGTTCCTCACTTAATGCTTTTGGTATGGAATTTAATCATGGAGTTTTAACTGAATATAATTTAACTGGCATTGTAGAATCCAATTTTATTGAAGAATTAAAACAATATGCAGAATTTTTAAAATATAGGTTAAGATATAAATCTGCTCAAACGCTCAGGAACGAACCTCGTTAATATCACTTCCGGTATCGACCAGAATGGACGAATACAAAAAAGGCGTTATGCACATTTCCAAGAGATGATCTATCATCATTCTATCATGAGTCTTTTATAAGAAAATGCATGGACAAAATGACGATCTGAAAAACAAAAATCTGACAAAAAATGCGACCGGAAGTGATTTTTCAAAAAATGAAAAAAAAGCTCTTGACATAATGATGCATCATTCTTGAAAAATCGTTGAAATCGTTCGACTAATGTCTGAGAATTTGCGTCTTCTATGAAAAGGGAATAATAACTAGAAAATCTGCTATTGCACGCAATACCGTATGTCACCCCGAACTGAGCCATAAGCTGCAAGATTGTTCAATGCTTACAGAAGTGAGTAATACAAGGTATTATCTAGAAGGAAATTGGTTTTGAGAAATCTTACATGTGTAAAAATCAACTATTAATTTTTCTCCGATATCCTAGAATAGAAAGAATGGCTTCTGTAGATGACGGAAGGCTTTATTTTACAGAGTGCCAGGTTCACGTCAAAAGCAAAATATTTCCTGAATTTACCTCTTCAATACGGGCATTTTTACATAGGACAGGGGCTAATTTATTTTGTTTATAAGATGATAAACTACGTGTTAACTTTCTTAGTTTAGCAGAACCATGTACATTTCCGGCGTGCTGAATATTTTAATATATACAGTAGTGACGAGCATTACTTTCATTAGCAAGTAATATGTTCACAAGAAAACGTGAAATGCTTAAGAAATAAGGTATTATTTTAAAATTTTATCGTGATGTAAATACGGGTAAGTCATGTGATCAAATCCTTAAAATTCCTGAATGGCTTTATGGTAGATTTCGTCATGGCCAAACGGTATTAACATCGCGATAAAATTTAAAAATGACACCTTATTGCTTACAAT